CAGCTCTACACCTTGTTATCTCTAACTCTAATGCCACTTGCTTTTAGGAGATAGATGCTTCCTTTGTTACTGTGCAAAACTGTCAGGACTAATGGAATCCCTGGAATATGTTTCTCATTTCAGATCTCATCTTCAGAGTTTTTGATAGTGTTACAATGTGTTGCTATCTGCTTACTAGCTATTTACTGAGACAATATCTTTCCTGAGACACAGCTCTGTTTGTTAACCTTATAGGAAACAATGAATACAAGATTCAATACAATATAAATTCCTGTTTAGAATGATCTCTTCAGTTGATCATTCCAAGTTAAGTATTACACTTGTCTGCAGAGATGAACAAATAAAATCAGCTTATTTTAAAAAAAAACTCTTAAATATTCCATTGTGTCAGATGACTGAGCTGATGGCTGAGCTAAGGTAAAGCACTAAATGCAGAAACCAGGGATAGATTGAGTGGCTATTTCTCTTGGTTAACTTTGCTTACTCACTTACATAAGTAAAATAAGTGCTGTTTTAGATAGCGCTTTTCGCATTTATCTGAAAATTAATTAACAATTTTTTTGCAAATTAAAATTTTAAGAAATTATTTTTCTTGACTTTTTCAGTTTGTCAGTCATGTGGACATTTTTAGGTCAAACCAGTGAGTTTATTTTCTTCAACTCGCGCTGTACTATTTATTAACCTGCCATTTAATTTTCTTTTATTAGAATCTTAACTTGGGAGGTTTTCCAACTCAGACTTGCCTACCCTAATGTCAAACTTTTTGTAAATTGCCTGCAGAGTGCACCTTTTTTTTTTAATCAGTGTAACATCTTTGATTAATAGAGATCATCTATAGTTTGAATTTATCTTCTGCCAAAAAATGCTTATCATTAGATTGCATTTTAATTTTAGCTTAACCTCAGGCCTGCTGCTTGCTTTTCAATAGGTAATTTATTTTATCTCTAGAGTGACTACAATTAATTTTAACTACTCATGTCTCCATCACAAGTAGCTTTCTTTCTGGTGCTGTTTAAGCACGTGGCCTTTGTAATGTGCTTGTGGCACTATTTCATTATAGAAGCTAATGGCTTTTGAGGCAGCTTTTTGTATTGATGGGAGGGCAGCACAGGGAGACAAGCTTTTGTACCAAGACACTCTTTGCAAGGCAGGTGGGTAAATACAATTTTAGAATGGAAGGGTGAAGGTCACCACCTTTGACCTCAGGGGAAGCAGAGTTGCATTATTCTGAAAAAAACCTTTCAGACTGCATGCACTTCTTTACCTTTAGAATATTTGGCCTTCCCAATCCATTAAAATCCATCTATAACAACAAACCATCATTCTTCCCAGTGTTTGCTTTCGTATTTGGCAATAGCATGACTACAAGCAAGAGAATAGCCAGATAATAAAAGCATGTAAGCCCACATTGCAAACTGGAATTATAGATTTTCAACAAGAGACAGTTTAAGAGAAATCTACAAGTATATAAAATATATCACAATGTTGACTATAATCAAAGGCCTCGCAGTGAGAAGATCCTATTCTTAGTTATATTACAGAATGTTTGACAGCAACTCCTGCTTTAAAGCGATGGAAACTGTAACTGGCTTATACTACAGGCTTCACATTGCCATCAGGTAAACAAATTGTAGGTTAACATGTACACTTGTATGCATGTATATTTCTTCACAGCTCTGTTTGCAGATACCTAAATATTAGTCATATCTTAACATTTAACATACAGCAATCAACTCTTTATTAAAATTTAAAAATGTTTCCTGAAAATTTTGGACGACTTAAGAAAGTTTTGAAATTTGTTTCATGGAGATGGCTGTTATCTTTTCCAAATGCAGTAGGTGGTTTCCTACTGTCTGCCCAAAATAGAAGTAAGAACAGATCAGCAATTTCACTAAATAAAAATCAAAAGAACTGCGGATGCTGGAAATCAGAAATTATTGGAAAAGCTCAGCAGGTCTGGCAGCATCTGTGGAGAGAAATCAGAATGAACACTTCTTGTCCAGTGACCTTTACTCGGGACCCCAGAAATGGCGCAGCCCAGGGCTGCTGTTTATTGATTCGCACAGCAAAGTCAGTTACCAAATTGGAAAACTACATAATGCCTCACATGACTGAAGAAACTTGAGCCAGTGGAATTTCAAGTGGATCACATTCCGGACAGTGTTCCCACTGAGCTTTGTACATGTGTGTCCATGCAGCAGCCTGGAAAGTACTGCACAAACATTGTTCCTTTTGCATCAATGCACTTAAAAAAAAGAGGTACCATGCATTAAGAAGACTGGCCATACATGACGACAGTGTTTTTTCAGGGAATGGTGCTACTGGGTCAGTACAGAACCCTGCGGAAATGTGTGGGGCATTTGATGAGTCAAGATGTGTTAAGACTCATTCCCATTCGGGGATGATGCAAACAAGGGTTTTAAAGACATTCAGCTATCTATCCACACTTGAGGGTTCAGGATAAGGCAGAAAGCTCACCTCTTACCAGCCAGACTGATTTTAGGAAGGCAGTCCACTGTGAGACATTGTCGAGCCACATTGGAGGACGTGGGAAATTCAGGAAGCGTATTTGCACCACATTTCAGGGACGAAGAAGTGGCCATGTCTTACCTGCTTAAGGAGGTAACATGGGAAACGAAAAAGAGTTTTGAAGAAGTGTCGTACCAGACATTAATTCTAATTCTTTCCACAGTTGCTGCCAGACCTGCTGAATTTCTCCAGCATTCTCTGTGTTAATTTGGGAGGTGAAGTATCTATCTAGGTGATCAGGCATGTGGGCATTGGTATCTCTTTTAGGTGATGGACTGGTAAATTACAAGCAGCTCATGGCAGAACTTGGGAGCAGTTGCCAAGTTGTTACTGAGTGAAAGTGGTCCAGCTGCAGGGGTTTCTCAGTCCTTGCCTCAGTGGAACTGCTATTGGTACAAAGAGTTTGAGATACCAAGGGAAGGGGTGACATGTCCTTTGGGCAGATTTCCATATAACTCACAATCTCCTTTCAGTAGCATTGATAGTATTACTGGCACACGTAGTGATGAGTGCGTGGTTTCTCTAACAATGTATGGGTCTAACATGAGGGAGAAGATTTGTGTCATTGTAGGATTTATTTTTGACCATTTGTTCTTGAAATGGATTTGGGGAGAAAATAAATATTGTCAGATTCTGAACTTTTAATGGATAGACTACCCTGGAAGTACCTGGTATAAGGGATCTCCCAAATGGTGAACAAACTGCACCTCATAATTCTGTGGATAAAAGTATTAAAGCAGAGAACATCAGATTTTTAATCACCTGTTGTTTCAATGTGTTTAAACTTATGTGAATTTATATTTGTATCAGATATGATTGTATTGAATGGCAGAGCAGGTTCAAGGGGCAGAACAACGTACTTCTGTTCCTATTTCAAATGGTCTTATTGTCTGTTGTATTTTTTATTTATATTATGTGAACTTGTACTTTACTTTGTAACTATAAAATGTGGCATATTTTCCTCCAATTTCTTTCTGTTGAAAGATAGTAAAATGTCCCAAAATGTGATGCCTAAGCACAATCAAGGGAATACAATCATTTCCTCACCACCTATTGACTATGACTATGATCTCGAGCAATTAATAAGGTGGCTTCAACAGATTAGTTTGGTTTCCAGAAACAAATTGTAACGTAGAATCCTTATTTGGTTGAATAGAAAAATAACTTAAGTCATTTTATGAAATTACAGATGAGTACAAGAGCAAAGTGGCTTGTGAAGATGACAAGTTACGACTGAACTGTAAACGAAGTATGGTAATAGCCATCTATTCTGCCATCTTTGGCCGGTCACAAGAGGGAAGCTTAGAATGTCCATTCCAGAATGTTGGAGCTCCAGCAATAGGTAAGTTTAATGTTTTGCTGTGCATTTCCAGCATTGCTTTTTATTTTATATCTTATTTAAGTACCTGTGAAGAAATAACAAAACTGAGGATTGACTAAATATATTCAGATACATCAACTGAACTAGTCTGAGCAAGTCATGCACATCGACAAAATGGAAGGATATTGCTTTTCTAATTGCCAGTGGACATTTGTGTATTCGTTCCAATAAGTAAGCAATTAGAATGTCTATTTTTCAGCATAGAAAGGTGAATTCAGTTCTCTTAATGTCTGAACTGGTAACTGTGTGAGTCGCTTAGCTTCACAGATTGGGAAGGTGTAGTCAGCAGATCCCACCTGAATGTATAATAGTTTAAGTAAACTATATTTAGCAAGGGAAAAATGGCTAAGTATCTATTCCTGCTGAGTGAAGCCCTACTGGAAATGTAAATGTACGCGTGAGGACAGCCTCAGGCTTAGCTATGAACTAAGGCTGAAAAAGTAAGACAGCTTTAAAAATTAAATACAGATACCAATACAAAGCTTCCATAGTGAGACAGTGGAAACCACATGTCAAGGATGGTAACTTACCTAGAATATATAATAATTGTGGCTCTACCTTTCAAATTTGTTGATGGCAGCTCATTTTCGAATGTATAATTAGAGTAAAATCTAGAGAGGGGTGTGATGCTGCAGTTATTAGAAAACCAAAGAGGAAGGGAAAGAAAGCTGGAGGAGCAATACCAGAGACTATGAGGTGAAAGGAAGAGGAACGTCAGAGGCTTTGATTGGCCTTGGAAAATAGAAAATTAGTAGAGATTTGGGCAGGGAGTAAAGTAGAATAGGGTTATATGTCAGAGAGGGGTAGAAGGTGGAGTGGAATTGGAGAGGGCACAGGAGCATTAGCAGCTGGAGGAAATGAGGAAAGTAGAGGAAAATATTCTGGGACAGGAAACAAAGTGAATTGGAACAGATACTTGACCATTTTTTGGTTGAAGGCTGGCAAGAGTCCTGAACCAAGTTAAGCAACCAAACATGTGCCTTCGACTATCTAAGGACACAAATAAAAAGAGCAGAGCAAATTGGCAGGAATAATTTGGAAAGTGAATAATACTGGGGATTAGATAGCAAGATTGCAATGGCGGCATGGTGGCTCAGTGGTCAGCACTGCTGCTTCACAGTGCCAAGGACCCGGGTTTGATTCCACCCTCAAGCAACTGTCTTTATGGAGTTTGCACATTCTCTGTGTCTGTGTGGGTTTCCTCCAGCTGTTCCAGTTTCCTCCCACAGTTCAAAGATGTGCAGGTTAGGTGGATTGGCCATGTTAAACTGCCCATAGTGTCCAGGGATGTGCAAGCTAGGTGGATTAGCTGTGGGAAATGCATGGTTACACAGGGGAGGAGGGTAGGTCTGTGTGGGCTGCTCTTCAGAGGATTGATGTGGACTCGATGGGCTGAATGGCCTGCTCCCACACTGTAACAATTCAATGATTTTATGAAAATTGTAAAATGGAACACTGAATATTGACTCATTTTCTTAACAAACGTATAAAAAATAGGCAACTGGGGACCTCCATAAGTCATGTAGGACAAAACAATCAGTTGTGGAGTTTTTTTCTCAGTTGGACATTGTCTCAGAGCACCAGAGGACTGCTGTGTCATTAGAGAGAGATGACTAATGGTTTTTTAACCTAACGGTCACAATGCTTCAGGTGAGGGGGCGAGGTTGAGAAGGCAGGATCTCATGGTGACCTCAGACAGTACAGGAATTGAACGCATGCTGTTGGTGTCACTCTGCACAGCAAATCAGCTTTCCGGCTAACTGACCCCCATCGTGGAGGTGGTAATTTGTTGTTGGTAACAGTGGGTCAGAGTCACAGAGTCACTGAATTGTTTTGGTACTGAAGGATTCTATTCAGCTCATTGTGTTGGTCTGAAATTGCCACGGGATGCTCAGGAAGCCTGATGTGAGGGAAATTCTTACCTCCACAATGTTTGGCAGCCCCAATATGGCTTACACTCTGGTTGTACAGAAAATGGGACATCTTCACAATGACATCCACTGAACAGAGCCTGCAGCTATATCCTTAACACCAAGCTATTTTTAGCCATAAACACTCACTAGGAAATTGTCCGCTATCATATGATACCAGACCTGGGTGTGCATAATATAGACATATCTTTAACATTGAATGTAACTATTACAGCACCACCTACAGGTGTATCAGGATCTGCAAGCACCGGTTCTTATAGGATCAAGATTGACATGAGTTTTCAAAGAGTGAATGATACAGTTCAGATTGAGGTTATTCCCAGTGCCTGTGCAATATGTGTCAATGTACCAAATTTTTGGAATAGCAAGATTCATTGTTATGGTTAATTTTCAAAGTTAATATTTTTAAAATTATACCAAAATGCTTTTGAACTAAATAATTAGTTTGCATCAGCACAACTTTCTACAAGGAATTACATAGCGTTAGACTGATAATACTCAATCACATTTCAATGTTCATAGTGTGACATAGAGAAACGGCCTTGAACTTCTGAGATTACCCTTTCTCTACCATCTGGTTTCAGAAGTTGCTTCCTATTAAACTGATCCATTTCACAACAATTCCAATGGATGAGATGATGAGAGGCAAAGCTGAAGCAAAAGGATGTTTGTAAAATCTCCAGAAGTGGCTGAAAGCTATGGCACAAAATAGCAAATATTTTAGGAATTTGTAGTATTCGAAAATAATCAAAAATTGCTAACTTTTTCAATAAGCAACGATCACAAATTGCTCTAAACTAACTGACTGAATATCCCTGAACTAGAACTTAACTTCTACGATTTATATTATATTCATTTTAATTTGTACTAATTTGAACTGATGTATTTTCACTTCCTTCTATTAATGTTACATCAGTTAAATTATTTGGATTAACATGGAAGGGCTATATTATGATGACAATTTGAATTTTTTTTACAGCAGCTTGAATAGTGTCACTGCAGAAGTAAGAGTCTTATTTTACATGGCCTAGTTGGTACTAGGTGAGCAAAAAATGAATGCATATTTCCTGTTGCACTGTATGCTGGCTTCAGCATCTGTAGGCTATGATACTCAGTCATAGCGTACACACTGATATAGCACTACTGTTGCGTAGCAGCTGTGTCAGATAAATTATTTATATTGATCTTTTCAGTAGGTGCAATGTTATTTGAACTAAATATACTCAGTGTAAGCTTTATCACTCTAAATACCTTGTCCATAGTTCCCCTTGGTTATTTGTTTAGTTTGACTTAATTGACACTTGGAAATTTCTGTAAAGATGCTTTACATCTTATGCTGACCATATATGGTTTATGATAATTCAGGATTTAATACATTGGAATCATGATTTTCACCCTCTGGCTGTATGAGTTATACAAGACAAGCTCCAAGATAAATGTAAATAGGTGTGTGATTTTTAAATCAAAATAAAATAACACTGAATGTGAAAATTAACACAAACAAAAAGCTCATGTTCTTTTTCACACAAATGAAATTAAAAATATGTGCCAAAAATATTTAAAAGTTTGAAGGCATAAAGCATTTGGTTTGTGTACTTTAATACTGTTCTCAGGTGAAAATTCCCACTAACATATGTGTTAAGTACTAAAGGAAGTTTCAACGGCAGCACTTTGCACACTGTGATACACAACTGCTTTTGCTGCAATTAAATTGGGTGGTACATTGTGAAGATCAGGCATGTTCATGAGCTAAACCAAAAGAAATGCACTCACTTCAATGCAGATATGTGGGAACTAGATGTATTATTGAGAACAATGTTATGGTGAATGTGATGCTTCTCCTGGTACATTGCCAAGAACCTAATGAATAAAACAAAACAGTACTGTCTCTGTGTATAGTATTAGAAACATTTTTTTTTGGGCATAGCTTGCAGCATTTTTGATTTAACTCTGTTGTTTCATACAGAGAGGAAATAATGAGCCTGATTTTGTACAAGAAATCTCCTTCACATTAGACCTGGGGTCATGAAAGCTGTATTGTATTTTATGAAAAATAATGTTGGAGTAATTGATCATTTACTCAGTATGTGAATGACACTTGTAATTAATCACTCCTACAGGAAAAAAGGTACTAACAGCCCTTTCAATAGTAAAAATAGGAGATCTGCCTCTGAGATTGAGCCGAAATAAAAGCTCTTAGCCTCCATCCAACAGTATTAGTTTGCACTGTATTGAATTGAAACTTTCATGTTTAAGAATTATGACAAGATCAGAAACTGGGTCCCATAGAACTGTCCAATTCCAATAGCTCAACTTTGTTTCATGGCAACATTGAAAATTTTTAAAACTATAATCTGACCTAATTTGAAAAGTGGACTGTGAATTTTATATATTAATGACCAAGATAATTTGTGCACAATATAGCTAAAATTGAAAAGTAAACAAGAAAATAATATGTCAAGAAGCAGTGGTTAGGTGGTGTCAAGTTTGAATTTAAATGTACTGTGGAATAGAGTCCAGGAGGTGTGCAAAACTGAAATTTGACTGGTACGTGCAGACCTGAGAATTGTTTAATTCATATTGAATTAGACAGTGACCTCAGACTGAGTATACAATGTCTAGTTCTGAGGAAGGGTCACTTGACCCAAAACATTAACCCTGATTCTTTCCACGGATGTTGCTAGACCTGTTGAGCTTTTCCAGCAATTTCTATTTATGCCTCTGAGTCTAAACTGTGTTTGATTTCTGTTGAGGAATTATCTTGTGGTCTGCCTATCTTCCTTTGCATTCGTAATGCCAATTTGGAATGCACTTCTAATCATCCATTCTTATCAATGTAATGCAATGTGATTATGCAGTTATTCTTTTTCTGTAAGACTCCTATTTGTTGTATACTTGTTATATTCTAAATATAATTTATTGTAACTATGATGATACTGTCGCGTTAAGATGTGTATTTTGTCCTGGTTTTTAGTTTGAAGGGAGTGCCAAAGGTGGTGAGCAGTCTACCAGAGCCAATAGAGTAAACAG